CCCAAGCGCCTACATGGCGTATAGTGGGACAGCTTTACTTTTCTTTTTATTTAAAAAGTGGAGACATTACGTTTTGAAGCGTTTGAAGCCGAAGCTAATCTAAAAAAGTATTTAATAATCCAGTCCGTACCGCAAAGAAAACACGACTCTTCACCGTTACATAGATCAACTGATTAATAATGTATAAGAAAATAACAGCTGTTTACACTGGATAATCACACGAAACACATTAGTACAAAACGCAAGAGTTAGTTATTATTTAACAAGGTGGTACATATAGTTACCACTGAACATTAAAAGTATTGGCTCAAATGTCATTCGTGAATTTCTGGGTCGTTCTTCGCAGTCAGCGACAGTGATTTTCAAACCATGGCTTATCAGCACGAGGGTCCATATTTATTTATTTTCCTGTAGAAGTTAGATCTATTCTTAGCCTTATCTCACCTCATCACACACTGATACAGAGGAACGTTATGGAACGCAGACAATGTCACCCTGGGACAAGCATGGAAGTGATGTAACTGTGACCTTATAAGCACATCCAGCAAAGTCCTTAAGACGCTGATAGTAGCTCACTTCGTCAAGATATCCGCAGTTTTTTTTTATTTTGTAGTGTTCTGTCTGACGACAGGTCCATATGAACAGGATCCTTCCATCCTTTTCTCGGACTGGGACCTGTTCATATACGTTCTTGGCAGATGATCCAGAAGTGGTTTGCCATTGCCTTCTTCTGTGTGTGAATGGAGTAATTGTTGGGATGCCACGGAGGAAAACTCCGTGTTGCCTAGACCACGGCCTTGCCCAACACAAGTTATAAATTTGAGCACCACCGGGAATTGAACCCGGGACCCCAGGCTATGGAAAGTTTTAATGCCGTGTTCACAAGACACTGCTAATCCACTACATCCTAAGCCAGACATATCCCATCCACATCCTCACACTTAAGATGCATCTTAACGTTATCCTAGGTTTGACAGTGGGGGCTACGTCCTGTTTAAAATCAAGGAGGATGCGATAGGCGGGATATTTAGCGCGCATGGGTACGATGAGAAATGCGTACACAATTTTGGCTGCAAAGCTTGAGGAAACAGGGCACTGTGGAAGATTTAGGCGGATATGGGAGGAGTTAAATTAAAATGGATTTTTGGGAAACGATTTCGGGGAGTGGGTTAGATTAATCTGACTCAGGATAGGGACCGGTGGCAGGCTCTTGTGAATACGACAATGAACATAACCTTATGGATTTCTTGAACAGGCGAGGATTAAGAACCTCAGAGTACTATTCGCTTTTCAAGAAAGGCTCTGTTACAGGGAATTATTTAAGCCCTGTTTTATGGTACAAAACTTGTAACACGTCTTTCGGTGTGATCTTGCCTGTAAATCTGTGAATTTGTAAATGAAATACACGTGGTATTTTCTTATCCGCTCTCTTCAAACTTCCAGGCAGCAAACCACAAAATATCGGAGTATTAAATCGGGTCGTACGGACAATCCGATAATATCGGAACGTACGAAGCGGATGATATTTCGATATCGACGATGCCTGGAACTTAAGAACGCGCTCGAAGAGTGTGAAGCAGATTCCGTGACAACG